AGTCTGTTACCTTTTTGTCACTGTCTATGGTTTTTGTTTAAAGTTTACCTAAAAAGTGCCTGACTGTTCCACAGCCATGAAGATTTACTCCCCAATTTCCTCTAAGGCTTTTACAGTTAGAGCTTTTATATTCAGGCTTAGGAACTTATCTGTACAGTGAGAGGACATGCCCAACTCAATTTTGTGCACACAGGTACATGATACTATAGCATACTTTGAAAAGGTCACTGTTCCCCTACTGGACTTGCCTTAGTGCAATCTCGTGCCTTTCCCATTCAATGTATTTTCTTTGTTTCCTTTAGTATATTCCTTGACAGCTCATGGTGTTACACAGTGTTAAACAAATGTGGGACTTACGAAGTGATTTTCACCAATGCCTGAAAACTTTCAATATCCTCTAGTCCACACTTTGAATCAAATCTACGTTCCTTACCACGGTTTTAAAAGTCCCACATGTTCTGCTTCCTACCTGTTTCTTCAAGTTGAAGAAACACACGAAAGAAACCTCCGACTATTCATTGTGCTGTGGCTGCTTTCTGGTTCTAAAGGTGCCCAGCTGCCTCCACCTCATTGCCCTTGGTGCTCCATCAATCACTGAGGATCTTCTCCCAGGTCTTGGAATGACAGATTCTTTTTAATACTCCAGATCTGAGCTCAGTCAACCTCTATTCAAGGATGATTCAGCAGATGTGGGCACATCCTGTTGGCCTTAACTGACATGGGAAGACCCAGCCCACTGTGGGTAGCACATCCCCTAGGCATGAGACCCTGAACTGTATAAGGATAAAGAAAGCTAGCTGAGCACAAGCAAGTAAGTGAGGAAGCAAGGATCCATGGGTTTATTCCCTCTGCTCTTAATCGTGGATGTGACCAAGTCCTTGATTCCCCCATGATGTAAAGTAGAATTATGAGCTAACACAAGTCCTCTGTTTCGTAAGTTGCTTTTGGTTAGGGTATTTTACTATAGCAACAGAAATTATTAGAGCACCACCCTTAACTAATTCACTTTCCTAGTGTTAATCTATTATTTTCATTCATGACACTGTTAATTTATAATTTTAAACCTCATATTTTTTGCTGTTAACTTATTTATATCATTGCATTACTGCAATCTATATTGATCTCTTATCTATTGACTGCAGTTTGTGATCGTGGACATCACTACTGATTTTCCACTCTATATGCTCAATTCTTAACAGAATTCTAGAATCACAGAAAGTATCAGAAACTGTCTGGATATGTATGTTTTGTAGAATCACACTCTGAAAGGCTGAATAAAACTCTACAAATCCAAGCGAATGGTGCTTTTTTTGAAGAATTCATTTTTGATTATAGTTAGGTGTGTGTGTCTATATGTAGGTACAAGCATGTGAGGCAAGATGCTCGAGGAAGTCCAAGGTATCAGACTCCCCTGGAGCCAGAGTTACCGGATGCAAGCTGCCTGACATGGGGATTGAACCTTGGTCTTCTGCAAGAGCAGTTATGCTCTTAACTGGTGAGCAGTTCCCCAGCCCAAACGAACACTGCTTTAGTGCCAAAGAGCCTTCTCTTCCAAAGGAAATCTATGCAGATGTCACATGTTAAGCAGCCTGGTGGGGGTCTTTTATGAGGGAAGCAGGGCTAGCAGGAGCTTGCTAAGTAACAGCCGCCTTGGGAACTTCTGCACAGCCTCAGTCTGTCATTCTACTCAGTGGACGCATGAAGTGGACGCATGAAGACAGAGACCGGCTTGCCCAGCAATGCAGCTCTTCAGTGCGGGACCAGCGGTTTAAAAACAGTGGAGGGCAGGGTTTCTGTATCTATGATGCTTAGGGTAAAACAATTCAGAACAAAACACTAGGGTGATAAGATTTAGATATTCTTTATCCTTGAATATCACCTAATACCCCCAATCCCAAATTTCTAATCAGTTTGTTTTCCATGGAAACTCTCCATTCTAACTTAAACAGATAAAAAAAAACATGTTTCAATAAGTCTAACTAAATTTTGCACTAAAGGAATAAAACAACATAATCTCATTTTAATATGCTCCGCTTTGGAATTCATAGCTCCACATGTGTTTAGAGCTAAGATACCATTGTGGTAGAATCTTCAGCTGAGGATGACTGACCATAGATGTTAGACAGATGTTTCTTTCCTAGTAGAAATATGCATTCAGGCAACCGAGCATTTTAGAATAGAATTCATGCATAAAATATGCATGTTTTCTCTTCTGCCCAGAGAAGAAACTGCTTGGATTTTGAATTTGTCAATTGATGTTTTCCTCGTACACTTCCCCAACACAGATCCCATTCTCAGTCTTCCAGGATGAAGGGCTTCTTTTCCTTTCAGAAAAAAATTATTTTCTTTCACTCTTTTCCTTGTTTGTTTTATAGAAACCGAGGTAGCATCTTTGTGACATTGCCCAGGGAGCAATTTTAAAAGTACAAAATAAAACCAACATCAGGCTGCCTGATTAAGCAATACTTCCTTGGATCATAAAACTCTTTTGAAAAAAAATATGCCACGGTATTTTTATTGAGTTTATAAACTGAAAGGCATTTAAAATTCCAAAGAGAACAACAAAAAGAATAAAAAAGAAACACACATGTGTTGTTGCTAAAAAAAAAAAAGTAACGAAGATGTGTACTGGGCAGAATTGGTCCTGGGAGACATTAGGACGCAGATGGGTTCTGTGTTTATCATTTTCCACGCTCTGTCTGGAGCGGCTGTTCCATCTCTGCTCTCTCCACCCCCAGCTGTCACATGGCATCACCCCCAGAGACCTGGGGATGCTGTGCTGAACTTAGACCCTTCTCTCCTTCGTCCTGTGCTCAAGCTCGTGATTTTGAGAGTCCATGCTGACGTATAAGTTACTGGAGATACACACATACGATCTTTATGTTTATGTCTCTATCCATACATAAAACATGCATATACGAACATATGTGCTTATGGACAAACATACTGTGTGAGTGTTCGTGCACACATGCTGGAGGAAAAAAGCCACCTGTGCATGCCAACCAGATGCTGTATCTCAAAGTCACATGCTCAGCCGTGAAGAACATCCATTCATCAAGAATGAGCAGGAATCACAGTTTCTTGGCACTGACTACTTTGCTCCTGTATGGACCTGGTCCTAGGGCTGATGGAAAAAGCCAGTTCTCTAAAAACAATGAAAACTATGGAGAACCCTAGGAAGGTAGAACCCAGGACCTGAAGGGAGCATTTCAATGAGCTTTCCAGGATGCTGAAATCGGGGGATAAAGGAATTGCTGTCAGCTTTGGCATCTGATACAGTACTGAGAGTCTGAATTTCTTTTTCTGGTGAAATGAGGAGTAATAACATATAGATTGTCAGGAGGATTCTATGAGGGGAGGTGAGTGAGTTCAAGTTGCTTAAGGCATTGTGTGTGCTGCGTTGAGACATCAGGGCAGAGGAGAGATAGGCGTTTCTCATGACGGCGAAGCTGGAGAGAGTAATCTCCACATGCTGATATTTAAATACAGTGATGTTTCTGCTTTACCCAAATTTTTAAAAATTAATTAATCAATTTATGTACGTAAGTGTTTTGCCTGCAAATATGCACGCATGTCACATGCCCACCTGGTGCCTGCAGAGGTCAGAAGAAAACATGGAACTCTCTGGAAATGGAGTTACAGAGAATGGCTGTGAGCTTCCATGTGGGGGGCTGGGAACCAAGCCCAGCTCCTCTGCAAGAGCAGCCAGAGCTCTTAACTGCTGAGCTCTCTCTCCAGCCCCTTTACCCTCATTCTTTAAACGCCAGTTTGAAACATGCTTGGGCCGTCACCTATCATTTGGGGAGAATACATGTTTTATTATGTTACATTAATTATAGCATTGTTTATACAGCCACTAAAGGATAGCAGTGATAGCGGTGGACAATTGTTAGTGATGAGACAGCCAGTTAGAGCTTCATTTATGGTATCTGTCATGTTTTTTCAAGATAGCACCTTCATCTTGCCGAGGCAAACTTTTCTGAGCTGATTAGGGCAGCGCCTACACCATCGATAAGACGTTATTTGTCTGCATGTTAGAAGCCAGTGAAGAGGCACACAGGAATAACGCATGATGATGGCCAATCCCATAAGCCACGTCTGCCTGCACGGTGAATTCTCCCATGGCCAGTTCCTCAGTCTTTACGGAGCCTTCACGTGGAAGTACCGGAGCCCAACAAGAGTGGGAGGTACGGACGTGCTGTCCTAGAGTTTCTTTCTGGCGGGAAGACTTCCACAGCTCAAGGCTCACCTTGATTCTTTAAAAGGCTAAAGATCACCAGCGCACAGAGGAGAGGGAAAGCTTTTCTTGTTGCTTAGGAGAATTGTAGGAATTCCTCTACCAAGGAAAGAACAGTCTCCGAAGTTAAGGAAACTTAGAGAAGTAAAAACAGAATGATCTCCCTTGCTTAAACGTGCAGACAAGTGGGCAGCTCTGACCCGACAGCTACCCGGAAGCCTGCGACGCTCACGCGGAAGTGTGTCACAGACATCCTCTAAAACTGCTCTCATTATTCACATCTTACATTTGTCTCGAGGGAAGGAACTTTTTAAACTATAAAATTTAGAATTTCCTTTAAAGCAATATAATTTAGGAGCAGGTATTGCTAGAGAATCATGCTTAATCTTAATCTGGAGGGCTAAGATGTTACTCTGTAATAACATGGGCTCTGTGAACAAAGACACAGGATATTTACGTAAACTAACCCTGAGACAATGGAGGACTCTCCCCCGACAGAAGCTTCATGACAGAAGTTCAACTGTTTATGAAAAGGTGTCTTTCCCCTTTTACATCTGAGGACAACTGGCATCTTGCTTTGTCATTCATTTAAGACATAGCTCAGCATCTCCAGTCACCCTGTAGATATAAAAGGTTAAAGTGTGTGTGTGGGAGCGTGTACATGTGTCTGTGCATGCATGCGTATGCTTGTGGGTGTACGGCATTCGTCCATGTGTTTACCTGTACATGTGACACTGAGTTAAGCGAACCCGGCGGTACTTACTGGAAGACCCATTTGACCTGCTGCACCCCAGGGCCCTGTTGTTCCTGGTGATCCCATCTCCCCTTTGTCTCCATCCTGTCCCGGAAGTCCGCTTCCTCCCGGAGCCCCCTGGAACCCAATGAGAGGGGTTTACTTTTAAAAATGTGGCGAAATAATTATGTCATGTAATAAGTATATTTTCATTTGACACACAAAAGGTAATTAATCCTGATATTTTAAACATTTCTTTTCTAAAATTAATTTTTATTTAAATTAAAAATGATCTTATTTTATGTACCAATCCTAGTTCCTTCTTCCTCCCATCCTCCCATTCCCCCCACCAATTCCCCATCCCAACCCCTATCTACTCCTCAGAGAGGGTGAGGCCTCTCATGGGGGATTATCAAAGTCTGTCACATCATTTGGGGCAGGACCTAGGTCCTAACCCATGTATCTAGGCTGGGAGAGTATCCCTCTATAGGGAAAGGACCCCCAAAGCCCATTTGTGCTCTAGGGATAAATACTGGTTTCACTTCCAGAGAGCCCATGGGCTGTCCCAGGCCCCCCAACTATCACCCATATTCAGGGGGTCTGGTTAGGTCCTATGCTGGTTCCCCAGCTGCCAGACTGGGGTCTGTGAACTCCCACTTGCTCAGATCAGCTGTTTCTGTGGGTTTCCCCAGCATGGTCTTTGCTCATTGCTCTGCCCTCTCTACAACTGGATTCCAGGAGTTTGGCTCAGAGCTTAGCTGTGAATCTCTGCAAAATGATAGCTTAGGGCTGAGAATGTAGCTCAGTGCTACAGTGTTCATCTAATACACATGTTGCCTGGGGGTGGTGGGGTGGGTGGTGGGGTGGGTGGTGGGGTGGGTGGTGGGGTGGGTGGTGGGGTGGGTGGTGGGGTGGGTAGGAGTGGTGGTGGTTTGGCATTGGCCAAAACCTATAATACCAGAACTTGGGAGTCACTGGCAGGAGGATCCAAAGTTCAAGTCATCCTCAGGATATATTGTGAGGTTGGGGCTAGACTTGGATACATGAGACATTGTTTCAGTATGTATAGTTTACCTTCAATCCATCTTTTCCGTGCAGACCTTCTTCTCCAGGGGCTCCCGGTTCACCCTGTTTTATTTTGTAGCAGAAAAAGCAAGATTAAGTTTTTGGCTCTCATTGATCTTCTTTTACATTTGGTTCCTAGAAGGAATAGGAAGTGGCTACTTTGCAGTTGTTAATTTCTATTTCAGCCTTATCCCCAAAGAAGGTCTGGCCATATAATAAGCATGGTTTGATTTGCCTTGGAAGAGCTCTGGAGGTACCCAAGATAGCCAAAGTTGTAAATTCAGATATGCTTCTGGAATACTAATATATTTTAGATAATTAAAGATACCACATTCATCTGCAGCCTGGAAATTAATATAGCTAGAACATGCTTTTGACAATAAAGAATGTAAACACTTCCATTGCATGAAATGTGGTTCCTTGAGGTAATGACCTTACATGGGCTCATATAACAAAATTCAGTCATGATCATTTCACCAGACTTTCTGTATTTTCTTCCTTCAGAGAGGCAAAAAGCATGGCCAAGTCACATAGATAAGCTGCCTTTGAGATATGAAGTTTGCAAAAACACAAACTATAGCTTACGAAGCTGTTATGGCAGTGTTGCTCTCTTTATAAGTAAGTTGAAGTGTATTAAATACTACTAGTTAATAGTACATCATTCCCATTAATGACTCCTGTATTAAGCTGATCCCTACTACCCACCCCCAAAGGTAAAATGCAAATCCACAAACCAGGTACAAAAAATAAATCTTCCTACTTTATCTGTTAGTGAACAAGGACTTTTAAAAATTATTTAAAACATTGTTATTTTGGAATAAAACTTACCCCAACTTAAAGCCCATCTATATTATCATAACTTTTCTAAGATACCAAATTACAATTACTCATAAAAATTTCCTTGCATCTCATTAGCTTCATATGGCCCTAGGGTGGTTTTTTAAAATGAACATTACATTTCAATCTTTTATCTGCCTGTTAAGTTAGAAAATGCACTGAAGTGATGACCAATGATTTGTGAATTTCTTCTTCATGCAACACCAAGCGGTAATCATTTGACTACACATTTTTGGCAAGGCTCATCAGAGCACACCTGGTTTTGAAAAAGTCACTTAGGATTCTAAATGCCTAACTTAGAATGCAAATAGGGCTTAGTGTGTAATTGTTAAATTCATGAAACATTTTGTAGTACATTTGAAAGGCTTATTACTCTACTTTTTGATGTGTCTAAGGTAGCTAAATTTTGAGTTCTTCCTCCCCCAAGCAAGTAGATCAGTAGATTAAGTTTGTTTATCGTAGGTACTCACACGTAACCCTGGCTCTCCAGTCACTCCGGTGTTGCCGGTAGGTCCAACATCTCCCTGAAGAGACAAAGGGCAGGCTAAGATTTTCCCCTCAAGTTGCCCTTCTACTCATGGAGTGATTATTATAAGGGACATCATCCAAACTACTGTCTTTTCTGATGGCCTTCATCTGCCTTCAAGAACATGTTTATCACCGGGTATAGTGGGGGCACACACCTTTAATCCCAGCACTTTGGGAAGCAGATGGTGGATCCCTTTGAGTTAGAGGCCAGCCTGGTCTACACAGTGAGTTCCAGTTCAGTGAGGACAGCACAGTGAGACCCTGTCTCAACCTTGCCCTCTCCAGAGAAAAAGATGCTGTTTGTCAAGCTGGGGCAAGTGTGGGAGTTAAGTTAGAGATGGACCTCTCTCTCATACTTCAGGGTGGTTACCTTAGCACCTGGTTCACCTTGCAGGCCAGATTCTCCCTCAGTACCTGGAGGTCCCTAAAAGAGAAATATTGGACATGTTCCAAAGGCTGTGCCAACCCCATGTGAAAGCGGCTTGAGTTTTGTCTCGAACGTAAGAGTCTGTGTGCAGAAGAGGGTTTTTCACTGCCTCCACACACACTTCAAAGCTTAAGATGGATAATTTCTGGGATTCTTTTAACAGTTTAAATGTCAAAAAGAGATTCACTCGAGACCAGGACAGTAAAGAATATTTCTCCCCCAGCCCTTCATCTTTGAGGCCTTAGAGGATATGAAATAATCTACTTCCTACAGGTTGGAATTATCTATCCCGAGATTCAGAGACGTTTCCCCACTTCTGGTCGTCACATCCCTTCCTCCTGTGGCCATCGAAACCCAGTTCCTCAAGATCAATTGACTTTTTTATTTTTAAAAAATAAAATATATCAGCCGGGCGGTGGTGGCGCACGCCTTTAATCCCAGCACTTGGGAGGCAGAGGCAGGCGGATCTCTGTGAGTTCAAGGCTGGGCTGGACCGATAGTCTCCAAAACAATACAGAGAAACCCTGTCTCGAAAAACCAAAAATAAATAAATAAAATATATCATATAAATTAATGATGAGGTTGTCACACTGAAAAAGAGATGTATATTCCGAATTATTTTCCCACTTTTCTTTCTTGATGTGTCTAGCTTTGTTGGGTGACCTTTTGATTACTTTGACTTTGAAAGCATACACTTATTTGCAGTCTTTGGCTCCTTCGAGGTCTGAAGCTTCAGCAGCAGCTGTTGTGTTATTTTTCTCTCGGAAGTATGAGTATCCTCCATGTGCTCCCCTCAGTCTCCTCTCTTTACATCCTCTTTGTTAGCTGGTGGGGAGCTTTGTGTATGTGTTGATCGTATTCATCGAGACCAATTAGCTCTGCCCCAATTTTCTCAGATGTGTGGTATTCTATTGGAGAGAAGCTGACTTACCAAGGGCAATAATCTTAGAAAAAACTGTCTCTCCTTCTCCCTGAAGCTAGCAATGGCCAACGGCTCTTTAGCTTAGAGTGGAGCTTTTTTCTAATCTTCTCGCTTTCCTTTCAGAAAAAATTTTCAAAATTTCTGGTGCATAGATTGGACTTTTTGTAATTTTTAGAAATTAATATGTTGTTCACATTATCTAATAGTGTTTTAGATGGGAGTAAGTTCAGTTTTTTTCCCCTCATAAAACCCCTGCAATCCACGGTTACTGTTTTTCAAAGTAAAATAAAATAAAAAGTCCAGACGCAATAGAAGAGATGGGAAGATAATGAAAAGTCCAGTTCCACTGATTAGAGGAAATTAGGCTTTCAGTGTTTTTGGCTCCTTGGTGTTTACTTCCATGACTGAGAATGTGGAGGCAGAGTGCCTGTGTTTGGACCTGAGACTGACATTTCTCTTAGCTAGTGATCTTTTGCATGCCTTAGTTTCTTCATCTGCACAATGGGGGAATAACTGGATCTACCTCATGAAGCTGTCAAATCCGTGGGAGGACCAGAGTGCGTAACTACTGCTAGCCGCATGAGCACACTTCAGTGGCCACGTGTCATCAAAGCCAGGGTCGTCCTCAGTGTGCCTCGCAGCGAGACACGTTTCCTCTTTTACTCACTAGTGGGCACTCTCTCCCCCGCCTCCAGGCACTGTACAAAGCCACCGTGTTTTCCTCAGATCACCGGCGCCACACACTCCACATCCTCATCACAACACAATCGTGTCTCCTCTCTTAAAAGTGAGGCCCCCCACGCATTCCATCCTCATCACAACACAATCGTGTCTCCTCTCTTAAAAGTGAGCTGTGGGATTCGGCACTCGGCTTTCCTTAGGCTCGGGTTGGCACGGCACTGGCCTAAGCATCATCTTCAGGGCAGATCTAAGCCAGCTCTGCTGTGTGTAAGCTTTAGCCTAGGGTGGACAAGCAACTGTGGCCTTTGTCCCCTCACAGCCTTCTTCCAGACGCAGGGAAAACACCACCGCGTCTGTCTCGTAACCTAGGAATGTCAGAATGATCTGATTTCCCCTTCTGCTTTGCTTTCCGAGTGACACATATGAAGAAGCTGCAGGATTTATGTAACAGGTATCTGTGCGCGTCCATCCATCACTTTGGATCCCTGGCCTCCTTGGTGCCTTGTACTCTCCCCTCCCTCCATATCCTCCTCCCTTTCTGCCCCCCCTCCCTTCCTCCCTTCCTGCCCCTCCCTCCCTTCCTCCCTTCCTGCTCCTCTCTCTCTTCCTTCCTTTCTTTTAGACAGGGTCTCACGTCTGGAGATCACTGTTTCTCTTGTGCCACTGTGACCATCTTCAACAATCTCTTAATTGGTAGATCTATCCTTAGTTACATTTGCTGAAAAACATCTCTCATTCAGCTACTAGGATTAGCTTTCCAAAATATGGTTCTGATTTCATCGCTGTCTTGTTTATATAATCTTGTAATAGCCCAAGACAAAAAGTTCAAGCTTTTTAATAGAGTACACAAGATTTCTCATGGTTTTCCTCTAATCTGTTACCATTCTCTTGTGACAGGAAGCATCAAAATCCCACACAGCTCCACAGATTTTCCATCCTTCTTCCTGGGATTCTCTCATCCGTAGTGCCCTTTCTCTTATCACTAAAGACCCTTTCTCATTCCTTAAACCTCCCTTATTATTTAAATGATTTTTAAAACTATTTTTTTACATCCCATCTACAAAGTCCCCTCTCTCCTCTTCTCCCAGCGCCCCCTCCAACCCTGCTACCCACACTTCCATTTCTATTCAGAAAAGGTCAGGCCTCTTGTGGCTATCAACCAAACTCCATGTCAAGTTGCAGAGAGACGAGGCACCTCCCCTTGTATTAGGGCTGGGCAAGGCAACCCAGTATGAGGCATAAGGACCCAAAGACCAGCAAAGGAGTCAGCGACAGCCCCTGCTCCCACTGTGAGGAGTCCCACAAGAGCACCAAGCTACACAACTGTCACATATATGCAGAGGGCCTATGTCAGTCCACGGAAGCTCCACGGTTGTTGGTTCAATCTCTGTGAGACCCTCTACTTAGTTGATTGTGTAGGTTTTCATGTGGTGTCCTTTACTCCTCTGGCTCCTATAATCCCCTCTCCCACTCTTTTGCAGGGTTTCCCAAGCTCCACTTAATGTTTGGTTGTGGGTTTCTGCACCTGTTTCCATCAGTTGCTGGGTGAAGCCTCTCTGAAGACAACAGGGCTAGGCACCAATGAGTAGAGTATCATTAGGAATCATTTCATTGACTTTTTTTTTCCTTTGCAAGTCATGTTTGGTTCTATCCTAGATCTCTGGGCTATCCAGCTTCTAGGTCCTGGCACTCCAGGCAGTGTCAGAGGTGTGCTCCCTCTCATGCCATGGGAATCAGGCTGTACCAGTCATTGATTGGCCATTCCCACAATTTCTGTCCCACCTTTGTCGCAGAATATCTTGTAGGCAAGACAAATTGTAGGTCCAAGGTTACGTGCCTGGGTTGGTGTCCCAATTCCTTCACTGGGGTCTTGCTTAGTTATAGGAGATGACCAGTTCAGGCTGTGTATCCACTATCACTAGGAGTCCTGGCTGGGATAACCCTTGTGGATTCCTGGGAGTTTCCATTGCAATAGATTTCTACCTCACTGTAACCCCCCCATTTCTAGTCATCTCTTCTAATACTCTCTTCCTCCAGTCCCTCCCCCCACCTGACCTCCTGTTACCATCCCCACCCGCCCCAGGTCCACCCAAGAAATCCATTCTATTTCCCCTTCCCAGGGAGATCCAAGGGTCCCCCCACTTGTGCTCTCCTTGTTACTTAGCTTCTGTGGTCTGTGGATTGCAGCCTGGTTGTCCTTTACTTCACAGCTAATATCTACTTATAAGTGAGTGCATCCATGCTTGTCTTTCTGAGTCTGGGTTACCTCATTCAGGATGATTTTCTTCTAATTTCATTCATTGGCCTGAATAGTTCATGATGCTATTGTTTTTTAACATCTGAGTAATAATCCATTGTATAGCTATCCTGAGTTTTTTGTTTTTCCATATGAAGTTGAGTATTGTTCTTTCTAGGATTATAAAGAACTGTGTTGGGATTTTGATGGGGATTGCATTGAATCTGTAGGTGGTTTTTGGTAAGATGGCCATTTTTACTGCTAATCCTACTGATTCACATGAATGGGAGGTATTTCCATCTTCTAGTATGTTGTTCAATTTCTTTCTTCAAAGACTTAAAGTTTTTGTCATACAGATCTTTCACATGCTTGGTTAGAATTATACCAAGATATTATATTATTTGAGGTAATTTTGAAGGGCTTTGTTTCCTTGATTTCTTTCTTTAACAGTTCATCATTAAGTTCATCATAGAAGGGCTACTGATTTTGTTTTTTAGTTGATCTTATATTCAGCCACTTTGCTGAACTGTAGTAGTTCCCTGGTAGAATTATTTGAGTCACTTACATACACTATCATACTGTCTGCAATTAGTAATACTTTAACTTCTTCCTCTCAATTTGTATCCCCTTGATCTCCTTTAGTTGTTTTATTGCTCTAGATAGAACTTCAAGTACTATATTGAATGGCTATGGCATGAGTGGACAGCTTTGTCTTGTTCCTGATTTTAGTGGAATTGCTTTATGTTTCTCTCCATTTAATTTGATGTTGGCTATTGGCTTGCTGTACATTGCCTTTATTGTGGTTAGATTATGTCCCATGCATTCTTATCTCTCCAAGTCAGTCTCATTTTTTATGCTTCCATATTCATGTCTTATCTTATTCTCCCCAGGTAGGGTAAAGCAGCAATTGCTTTGTTCCTTTATTTCCCTTTCAATATCTGCATTACGAGTGCTGATGTTGAATTTACTCTGAAATAGATTATTAGTTTGCAAAGGAATCAGTGACCTTAACTGCATTCTTGCATCTCTAGATAAGTGTATTTTCAAAGGCATGGCTCATCTCTAGACAAGTGTATAGTCAGAGGCATGGAATAGTTGAGGATCGGGAACTAGGTCGCCAAGCCTAGTAACAGAATAACTTCTTATAGAAAGTAATTAATAAAGAACAGGTCTGCAAAAGTAGACCATATAGAACTTTATTTTTTTAATTGGTTACTTTGGTGTACGATTTTTTCTTATTTGCAAGTTTTTAAAATTAATTTTTATTTAAATTAAAAGCAAGATTTTTTATAATAAAGTTCATAGAAATTTTAAAAAAGAAATGAATGTTTATTGTAAAGGTTATGCAACTCTTAAAATATTTCAAGAACGATGCAATAAAGAGAAGCTGGCGATGAGTGGCTGAGGGTCTGAGGGGAGTTGGAGGAGACATGGCATAAAGGTGGAGAGAAGGGTGGACAGGAGGCAGCGAGGGCTTGTTCAAAGAGAGAAGGTAAGAAGAGGGTGAGGTAGGAGTAGCTTAGGGAGGCTGTGGCATCTCTCAGTGAGGAAAGCGATGGGCTTCATGTACAGAAAATGAAGAATAAGAGTGCACAGATTCTGCATTTGAGACATTAGTGGGATACCTAGGTGGATACATAAAACGTTGTCAGGATGTCAATAAGTAGTGTAAGAAGAGAGGCATGAGTCAGAGCGAAACCAAGGAAGTGGAGGGGCAGTTTCATATGAACCTGAGAAAGGCCAATGAGAAGATAAAGTGAGGAAGAAAGAGAGAGAGAGGAGTAGAGGGAGAGGGAGAGAGCAAGAGAGGGAGCGAGAGAGAGGGAGCGAGAGAGAGGGAGCAAGAGAGAGAGAGACAGAGAGACAGACAGAGAGAGAGACAGAGAGACAGACAGAGAGAGAGGGAGAGGGAGAGAGAGGGAAAGAGAGAGAGAAAGACAGAGAGAGAGGGAGAGGGAGAGAGAGAGAGAGAGAACTTTCACAGATGCCAGGGAAGTTGGGTAACATATAGTTTTACTACTAGAGTGTGAAACAGAAATGAAGTGATTGGATTTCATAATTATAACAAATGCAGTTTATTATTCCAAATGTTATAGTAAGTAGGATGACTTCAAAAGTCCCCATTCTCTAAAGGAAGTTGCCTCTTAGAATGAAGAGCTATCAAGTCAGTTCTCACAAGGGGGGGTCTTTATTCACTCTTTGTTTAATCATTTCAGTGGACTAATTCTTAGAGGAGAACTTTACATGTATGAAACTACCTTTACACATCATTTCTGTCATTTGTAGTTTTAGGGTTATAGAAAATATAAAAGAAAACACTATAAAATTATTCTTCATGACATCTACTTAATATAGTTAATCTACCTTGTTTTGTAAAAACACATTGAATCAAAGATTAGAATGAATCATAAAATGTTACCTCCACACCCATCTCTCCAGGAAGTCCAGCATCACCAGGCAGTCCTCGTGCTCCCTATAGTCAAATAAATTGAAGGTATGAGAATCAAAGTTTACTTTTTCAATGAACACTGCATCTCAGTTTCATTTTAATGAATAGTATTGGCTGGCATATTACTTTATTCTCTATATAAATAAAATAACTTTAGTTGATACATCTCCATTGTTTCATAAATGATGTTAAACTATGCTTCTGTTCAAAATAAAAATAGAGGGCACTATTCCATTTTATTCTCTAATTCACTCATTCTTTTAGCAAACATCAAATACCTAATAATTATGAAATATTGTGCTCCCCTAGTTATATTTAATTGTGAGCTTATCTGTAGGAGACTGTCTTGGTTTTTGGTTGATAAGGGAGCACTCAGTCTATTGTGGGCAGCACCATTCCCTAGGCAGGTGGTCCAAGGCGTTACAAAAAGGTGAGCTGAGCATAAACTTATAATGGAATCAGCAAACAGAATTTTCCATGGTTTCTGCTTCCATGCCCTGCCCTTCCCTGCCCTCCCTCAATGATATACTGCACCTGCATTCCATAGTTGAGATAAACCCTCTCTCCCTCTAAGACGCTTCTTGTTAGAATGTTCTAGCACAGCAACAAAATGAACTCATAACATGTGCTAAGAGCTTTCACAATGCATTTTATTAATATGCATGACAATCTACTTAATAACCATTGCAAATATGTGACAAACAAAAATATTTTAAAGGAAAGTGTGCACTTGTGGTTTTCACAGGAATATTTTAACTTGCTGACTCTTTTCCTTCTCATTCTTTTTTTTTTTGCCAAATACATGAATGTAAGAAAATATATCCATTCTTCTGATTTTAAGGTGTTTCCCCAGCACATGTTCTTCACAAAGCTTAGGGATTTCCCCTCTATCCAAAGTTTCTGAATCTGTATTTTATTTTCTACCATGAGCGGGAATGGGAATTTGTCAAATAATTTGCCTGGATGTATTTATAACACTGTATTTTCTTCTTCAGACTACTAAGGTGATAGATTACATAAGTTGTTGAATGTTAAACTCCCTTTGCATGCCTGGAATAAATCCTGCCTGGTCATGATTTTGTACATGGTATTACAACTGATCTAACATTGTGCAATACATAGTGCTACATCTGATCTGACATTGTGCTGAGGACTCCATACCTATGTTCCTGAGTGACACTGGTCTGTGTCCTTTCCTGTAATGTGTATGTCTCTTGGTCCTGGGACAATACTGGCCTCCTGGAAGGATCCAGGAAGAAGTCATCACTACTTCCAGCTCCCGTCTCAGGATACAGATAATACCCATTTGTTTGCTAAGTGTTTATTAGATGTTGTCAAGGAGATCACCCAGGGCTAGGGCTTTCTGTTTTGGAAAGTTATTGGTTATTTATTTAAGTGGTTATCCAATATACTTATTCAAATGATCAGTTTTTAAGTGATTTTTGTTAAAATAGTCTATTAAGTAGCTGGTTAATCATATCTAAGTTACAGAGTTTGTGGATGTATGAGCTGTTCATCCTTTTAATTTGCATGTTATCAGTAGTAATGGACTATCTCTTGTGTCTGACATCAGTGATTTGTGTTTTCTTATTATTGTTTTGATTATTCTGCCCATGGGTTGAGGAATTTGTTCTCCTTTTTTTAAAAATAAGAACAAGAGTTTGGGTTAATTGATTTTAAAATTAGCTTTTGGCTTTTATTTTATTATTTACTTTATTATGATTACTCTATAGTTAATTTTCTTATTTATAATTGGAAGCTTAGATGGTTTATTTGAAACCATTTGCCTTTCTAACATTTCTTTTCTAAAATTAAAAAAATGATGCATTTATTTTTTATTTGATGTGTGTTGATACTTTGCCTGCATGCATGCTTGTGCGAAGGTGTCAGATCCCCTAGGAATGTAGTTACAGATGGTTGTGAACTGCCATGTGGGTGATGGAAAGTGAACTTGGGTCCTCTGGAAGAACAGTCAGTGCTCTTAACTGTTGAGCCGTCTCTCTAGTTCATCTAATATTTCTTTTAAATTTTATGTTACAAGTTTCCTTCTGTTCACAAATGTTTAGGCTGTATTTTCACTTTTAAGTTAGTTAAGATATCTGAAAGCTTTTCTTCTGAGTTTTATTTCATCATCATTGGTGTGTGTGTGTGTGTGTGTGTGTGTGTGTGTGTGTATGTGTGTGTGTGTGTGTGTGTGTGTGTGTAGCACAATGCTCTTGCAGAGGCTAGAGGACAATTAGAAGGAGTTGGCTTTCTTCTTGCGCTGTGGGTTCCAAGAACTGAACTGAGGTCATCAGGTTTGCCCCCTTGTCCCCTCTTATGTACTGAATCTTGGTGCTGGAATGGGATTTCATTTTTAACACTATATCATTTAGCTGTGTGTTTTTAAATATCCTGAAAATTTGGGATTTTTCAGCATGTTTCTATTTTCAATTTAATTCTGCTGTGGTCTGTGAGCAGACGTGATACTATGTTTATACTTTGAAATTTGTGAGGATGTATATTTTAGCCTACACTATGGTCTATCCTGGGGAATGTTTTATGTGAGCTTCAAAAGAAAGTGTATTATGTTGTTAAATGGAGGTTTAGTTTTTTTCTCTTGGAATCTATAGAAATTTACTCTTTTTATACAAAAATGTCTCAATTCCTGGACATTGGCATTAAATTAACCACAGACCTTGTTACTACACTCATTTGCCACCGCAGAATTAAGCAAAGGTAAAGAGAACAGCAGAGGACCCGAATGACCAAATGAAATCAAAGGTGGACGGGCACCAAACCTTTCCTGAAGAGACAGCTGGTATTTTGGGTTTGTGGGTCACATGTATTTTTGTCTCAACTATTCAACATTTCTGTCACACTTGGAAGCAGTCACACATAGTGTGGCTGTTGTAGAGGCACTTGATTTACAAGACACTGACTGGACTGGAAGCTTCATTTCTTTTGCCCCTTCCTCCCTTCCTTCCTCCCTCCCTCCCTACCTTCCTCCTTCCCTCCCTCCCTCCCTCCCTCCCTCCCTCCCTCCCTCCCTCCCTCCCTCCCTCCCTCCCTTCCTTACTTCTTTCCTTCCTCCCTTCCTCCCTTCCTTCCTCCCTTCCTCCCTTCCTTCCTGCATTCTTATCCTTTTCTACCAACATTTTGAAATTTTAAAAATTTACCTCTAGCCTTAAATCCACTACAAGCACAGTCAGAGGAGGCCATTGTTTGGGACTAAGACTTCTCATTAAGCCCCAATGGAACAGAATGAACACACAAATGCTACAGAGCTACAACGCTGAACCAAGGGGAAGCCACAATCTGGCCTTCTGGGAACTCAAGGAGGGATGCGAATTTCCAAATCAGACACTTTCCGTCATTGTTGATGCTCCAGCTGTAGTCCCTACCAAAGGGTTGCTTGGCCATGACTGGGTGTCATGTCTTTCCTCTGACTGTCTGCTTCACCTGACTTTGTGAAGTTCTCAGGCCTCGTTTGCTCTTTGTTTCTGTCTATAAAACCCAACTCTTATGTTCAGATCTTTGAAACATTTTCTGTTCTGTAGAATAAAACATTCCCTTCTGCAGAATAAAAGGAACACTGAGACTAAGCTCAGTTCTCATGCTGTCTGTCTGTCTGTCTTTCTGTCTGTCTGTCTATCCATCATTCACATATTGTGTATGGGGGGGTCACTAGCCACAAAGCAGAGACGGAAGTCAGAGGGTGGCACACAGGAATAACTTCTCTCTCCTTCCACCATGTGTGTCCCAGGGGTCAGACTCAGGTGGCCAGACTTAGCAGCAAGCACTATAGCCACCGAGTCATCTTGCTGGTCCCACTATGTCCTTCAAAAGGCATTTTATTTTCTCTCTTCTCTACTATCTTCATGCTATGGCACTTATGTCTCCAAACAATGCTGTCTTTGTGTGTGTGAGTGCATGCCTACATACGTGTATGTGAACCACATGCATGCCCGGTGCCTTTGGAGGCTGGAAGAAGGCATAGGATCCCCTGGAGTTGAATTTACAGGTGGTTGGGAAACAAACTTGAGTCCTGTTCAAGAGCAGCAAGTTCTCTTAACTTACAAGCCATCTCTTTAGCCCCAACTCTCACATTTATAACTTCAGTGTATTCCTCTGATCTGAATCCAACAGCCAATGTAACATTTCTCAAAGGCATCTCAAATTCATCCCTCAATTGTAATCTTCAGTTCTCCAGCCCAATGTTTCCTTGTTTCAATAAATTATATTTAATGCAGGAAGCCAGACACTCAGGAATAACACTTCAGAACACTTGAGTTTCTCCTACTGCTCTTAACATCTTTGGAATCTTTTCCTTCTCTCCACTTCTTTCTTGACTGCTTATCATAGACTTTTGGCTGCATCTTATCTGGATCTTGGCTCTTGACTCCTACTGCTTGGTTTGATAATATTTATCAGACAGTAACCTGATCATGGTTCTTTCCCCTTGGTGCTGTCCATTTATTCTTAGGATAACTATACAAATCCCTTGGAACAGGGCCCGTAGAGCTCTGTGTGTGGCAGCATGTCCTTTCTGCTCTTGCACTGTCCCTGCTCTCTGTCCAACTGTCACAGTCACGTTGCTGTCCTCCACTTCTGGAACAAAATTTTCTCATCTTGGCTCAAATAACTATTTCTCTCCTCTCATATCACATGGCTCTGCTCAGGGAAACTTTCTGGAGTGTCTAGATTGTGACAGCTTATTTGTATCATCAACCCTCTAGATCTGAACTCCTACACAGTTAATCTTCTTTATCCCTTCTTCCTCATGGACTCAGCCAAGTACAGAAAGAAGAAAATCCTTAAAAATGTCTATAGTGAACATGCACAGACCTTTTCTCCCCAATATTCCTTAAGCAATATACTGTAGTGATTATGTATATAGGTTTATATCTTATTATGCATTATAAGCAGTCCAGAGATGATTTGAAATACACATGAGGAATTGGGCAGGTGACAAAAGACAAGACTCCATTTTGTATGAGGGTTTTGAGCATCCACAGACTGTCTGTGTGCAGAGTATTGAACTGCTTCCCCAGGGGTATCGAGTTCTGACTGCACTTTCTAAGATCTATCTCAGTTTATAATTATCGGCCTATTTATGTAATCACCTAATCAATACATTCTTCTATCACAAGACTGGAAACATCGTGCTTACTGTTAAAACACCAAGAGCAAATTCTTAGTAACTTTTTTGTTGACTGAATCAAAGAAAGTTGATCTATGCAATAGACATTCTTGCCTTCCAAGAAGAAAAAGTTTTAAATTTGCATATGGAAGGGTTGCAGTTCTCATATTATTGTCAAAATGTAAAATACATTTAATTCTTTGTGCCATTCTCGTTTTACCAATTTCATTCATTTCTATGATTGACTCTTAGTTCCAATATATGACACAAAAGCTACTAAGCTATCATAATTTGGTTTCCATCTTATTTGTCAGTCCTATGACATTGACCTTCACATCAACATTTTAAGCACTATGAAGTCATTTTGTTATCAAGTCTTCTCTTGCATCCATTTTAAGTAACAAGTCTTCCCTTACTTAAATCCTAAACTTTTGCTTCCACTATGGCCATGGATGGACTGACACACTTGTCTAATAAAATCCCATCAGTCTTCATTTCATTTCCCCAGTGTAATGCAACTTACTGCGTCAATGACACCTTTGGGCAAGGCCTTTGGTTTATTCAGTTTAACAAACACACTTTGGGCAAATAGACTATGCTGGGCACCACATCAGGAAAGAAGATAAAAAGGTAACAGGAATAGTCCCCGGCTCCCAGGAGCTCATGGAGCTCAGATAGTTAAGGAAGCTGTGCAAAGCAGGACTGTACTATTTCAGGTCAAATAAACATTAGTGATGGCATAGCAGATGGAGGCACATAAAACAGAGAGCAAACCAAAGGCTTAGTTATGGAAAGTCAATGTCACGTCTTAGATATGTATCAGGCAAGAATTAAACATATTGTGAACCCTTACTGTTCAGTGAGCTTATCTCATAGGTTAAGTGTAAACCCTTTGGTAACTTTTTCCACTTGTTACTATCTAAATTAATTACACCAAGGCCACCTGTAAACCTTTGTGTCAACTGGTGATAATATCAACCCAGTGGTTCAAAAGACTTCATTGTATTGTGAATCCCAGAAACACATTCCAGCAATCTGACATGACTGCCCGACAGAATGACTTCATTGGTAAAAAGCCTAAGTTGTGAGGGACAACTGTATCCAAATCTTTCCTTTGCATAGAGCACTTTCCATGGAAACTCCAGAACTGAAGCATAGCTGTGGAACTGTGGAATATGTTTTTGTATTGTTGATGTAATGGCATTTCTGCCACATTTATGTGTTTGGGCCAATCAGATATAGAGACTGGCTTCGCTACGTGGCCTTCATCATGAAGCTGGTGATTGTGTGTAATAACAGCGGGCCATGCAGAAAGATCATTCCTGAAATCACTAAAGCAAAGTTTTCTTTTCTCAAAAGCAGAAACACGCCCTCTTGATAGGCACAGAGAAAAAGTATCATAAGAGAAAAAGCACCAGATTTGGCTACATGAAGCCATAAAGGTAGTGAAAACTATAGCAACACAGGTACACTTATATACACATATATGTGTTTGTATCCTGCAGTAGAGTAAAACATCCAATTTATAGAGTTTGTCTTTGCTATCTAGGGTCGATACTGTTTCTAAAGCAGGCCACTCACAGCATTGCAGGTGAACAGTTGTGGAAAGTAAATATACTTTATAAGAAAGCCACAATTAGAAGAGCAAAAAGAAACTCACTGGTTCTCCAGCAGGGCCCCTGTCTCCTGGGCTGCCAGGGAGTCCTTGTAAGCCCTGGACAAACAAATGAGAAATTTGTAGAAGAGGAGGTAGGGTTTTTTTCTCTGCATTCCTTAATTTTTCTTTTTCTTATAATATATATGATTTACCATAACCACAACTAAGAATATAATTCTTCAGCATTAAGTAGATCCACAATGTTTATCAACCATCCCCATCCACCTTCAGAACCTTTTTGTCTTCCTAGTTAAACCCTGCTAATAACTCATTTATTCTTATTGGCACTTTCCCGGTTCCCTGTAACTACTTTTGCGTCTATGAATTTAACTGTCTAGGTAATTACTGTAAGAGACCCCATACGATACCAGTTCTTTTGTGTCTGGCTTATTTACTGGGTAGAATATCTCCAGGGTTCTTCCTTGTAGTGTGGGTCAAACATCCCTTTTAGAGTTGAATAATACTCCCAAGGATGTATAAATCACATTTTGTTTACCCATAACACTAAGGTTGCCCCAGCTTTTGGCTATTGTGAACATGGGTAAGCAATATCTGAGTCCTGGCTTTCCATTATTTTGGGCATATACTAGAAGTGGAATTATGCTTATTAAAATTATGTTTATTATTTTTACTTATAGTATTTATTTATTGTGGCTAGGCTCTATTTCAGTTGTGAAAATCATTTGTTCTTAATTAACTTCAGGCTCCTATATTAATAGACAGGATCAGTACAAAGACCTTGCTCTGCCTACTCTGCTAACTGAAGCATGTAATGAAAGTTCAGACCTTTAAATGGGTGTCTGTTCAGTTTGCTCTGTAATGCATGTTTGGACACAGAACCAACTTAGCATTTCCATTAATGTGGATTCTGCACTGAGGTTTTACAAAGCAAGAATACAATTTCCATGTTCTCAATTTTTATTGAGGATTAAGATGAAAAGCACAAATAAAATAAAAATCCTGTTTGAGGCTTTTCAGACGTTACTAATGATACAACTTTGTAGCAGAACTCATTGCTCTACAACTTCAACTCAGTAATCATGGGAGCAAATGACCTTGAGACAAACAGACTTTGTGGCTATGTATTGGGAGTTTGCAATCAATATACAATAGTATTTATAGTTCTTATAATCACAAGAGATTTACTTTTCAAAATTTGTCATTATTATGATTATTGTTATTAGTAGTGGTGTGTGTGTGTGCCTGTGTGCCTGTGTGTGTAACATGAATACGGAGGTCCCTGTGGGCCTGAGGACATCAGTAAAGGGTATTGGATCCTTGGGAGCTAAAATCACAGGAAGTTGTGAGACACCCTGTGTGGACACTGGTAATCAAACACAGATCGCCGGGAAGAGCAGGGATTGCTCACAACCTCTGACACATCTCTTTAGTTCCTCCCACCTGGACATTCCTTTTTAAATGTAGATAAACTGAGGCTCAAAAAGGTTCAATAATTTATGCAAAGTCAAATCAGGCAGTAAGTGGCAGAACCAGTAATTGACCAACAATGTGTCTAACTCAGTACAAGATATGCATCACTACTCATTCCATACAGAAGGTCATGACAGAGATAATTGAGGATTTCCGCATGAAAGGCCCCTCTTTCTCAATGACCTCTTTAGGGTGATGAATGAAATCTAGAGTTTTATATCCAGTGAAAACTGCCTTCAAGATTAATAGTGAAACAAAAATATTTCACAAATCAAAACTAGAATAATTCATCACTGGCAAACTCCCCTAAAAGAAGTTCAAAAGATGTTTCATAGGCTTCAGGAAAATGTCAGCATTTACATTCAAACCTTCAAGAAGGAATGACGATCACTAGAAATGGCAAATGAGAAGATGGATAGAAAGCCTGTCTCCACGTACCAAGCTCTAAAGCATACCACTAATCTATATTAAAGCAAATGAAATTTTATTAATATGCAGACAAAATCTTAGTTTACAATGAGGATGCATAGTACACATGGATGTAATACATAAAATATCCACATTGTAAAGACAATGTGTTAATAAATTGTCCTGTGTGACTCTAAGATTTTTTTAACATATATTCTGTCACATAAATGCTTCCTTCCTGTCACTTTATGGGGAAAGTTTACTGAGCCTGACCTAGAATAAGTACTTAAATTAATAATCAGCACAAATCAAAAGTCAATTGATAAGATATAATTTTCAAGGCAGAAGACATTGAACAAAACAGCGAAAAACAAAGCACAAAACAGACCTAAGTCCAGTGATAGCAATTAGACTAAACAGAAATGGGCAAAATACTGTAATTAGAAGGCAGATATTATCAGAATAAAAGCAAGATCCAATTAGGATATGTTTAATTAGTTATTAAGATGCAAATGGGTTAAAAGAAAACTGGTAATAGCAATCAGATAAATGGCAAGCCTATAAAGGACTACCAAGACTGAGGCCCACAGCAAATGAAGCCATTTTCAAAACAGCATTACCAGGAAAAAACAATCAAAACTGGACAAAATTATAATAGAATTTCAAACTACATGAAGGAAAAATTAGAAAGAAGGGGGAAATCAGAGACATACAAGATCAGAGAGATTTTACACACCTCTCTTATGGATTAATAAGATGCCTTCATTAAAACTCAGTAATTAATGTGTGAAATGTTATAATTTTTACAATTTAGATAAACAAAAACAGCCACACAGGCTCCATGACCCCACAGAACCATTTGATCATGGGCTTTTCTTTCTGTTTTTGACTTTTGGAACAGATCTACAGGTAGATGGGAACAGTGTTGGTGCACAGACAAATAGACCCTTTCTGGTTTCCAGGATTATTAGGGTACTATGTATTGTTGGGTTCACTTAGTGTTTGCTTTTACCATTCTGACAGTTTGGGTTCTTGGGGCAGGGGTGGTAGATCAGAGACAGAGCATGTACTTAGACCCTCAATCTCTACCAAAAAGAAGAAGAAAAAGGAAGAGGAGGAAGAATGGGAGAAGGAGGGGGAGGGTAGGAGCAGAGGGATTTAGCAAAGGAGGATGCTTTTACGAACCATGTTAGTCTCTTCATCATGGGTGAAGAAAATGTGCTCTAGGGAGTCAACCAACTAAAACAAGGCTGTGCAGTTTTTAGGAGCATGTTAAGAAAACTTGTCTGATCTCTAATATATTTTGTATATAGAGTATTGCCTATTTTGACAGTATCTGAAGGACAAGAGACGTAGGATTACTCTGAAAGAGAATGTAAATCTTTGGGACTTATTTTTTTTTTCTTCAGTGAAATGTTCCCTGATTTCCTAAAACTCCACTTCAGCTAAGGAAGAGTGAATGTAGGCAAAGAATCTCATAAACCTCAACAGACATCATAAACTCATCATTTTCTGCCCAGGCTGTGGCATCTGTTAAGGGGGCTTCACCCTTCCAGGAATCCACAGAATTTGTGTATCATAAGACAGTTACAAATGATCCTAGTGCCATTTACAGGGTTTGGAAATGTCCCATTAGTCTAAGCTGGAAATGAAAATTCTAAGGTAGGTTAACAATATACAGAATGAGTAATTCTGGTTCTGTGAACCTCACTTTTTTTTAAATTAAAGGAATGGACTTGTGCTCAACCTTGCCTGCAATCATACAAAGTGGTCAATGTCTACAGAAGCTGATTAACACTGACATGATAATAAACTCCCACATGACAAATACAAAGACACAAGGGGTATTCTTTGGGAATGTCTTCAGTTAATGACACAAGGCCAAACATAGCTCTTTTTCGGGACAATCATTTACTTTCTTTTGAATCTCTAGTATTTTAGACTTGACCATTGTCAGATACATTGCTATTATGAAAAACAACAGGCAGGGGGCAGCAGATAGGAACAAGCAAAGGTTGTCATCTACAACAACCACCACCAGCAGAAACACAGACATCCTGGCCTTTTCTGACTCCTCAGCTGTCATCCATTTAAGTGATCAAATTATTTAAATTTAAGCCATAAGATATATTTATATGACAAATCAAAGTGTCATTAACATTATGATTCAGTATGAGAACTATTAAAATTCTTATACATGCAAGCTATGTGCTAATTTCTGTAGTTATCATATGTGTATACGTTTTATATACATGTTTTCAACATTTCTCTCCCCTTTCATGATGACAGTTACAGAAATAACTGCTTCTTGGGAAAAGCTATACAATTCTGGTAAGATGTTAGAAGGCAGGGAAATGTCTAACATTATAGAATCCCGAAAACTCTTGCAGCCGTGCAACAGGAAAGCAGACGTGTGTGACTCTGTACTCGAAAGGACAAACTAGCACTCAAGATCAGTAAGAACAAAACTAGGTGAGAGGTCACAGAAGCTTCCTGCGTTCTCTTTACTCTGCCCTGCGGAGTTATGTATCTAACCATTTCATTTTAAAGGCGTTTGAGAGTGGAATTCATCACGGTGAGAATGAAGGTGCCATTTATCACATCAGCTTAATTATTAATAAAACAGCACATCAAAGACAAGAACTTACTGGTTTTCCTTGAACTCCCCTCTCCCCTGGGCTTCCAGTCTTACCCTACACACGGGGAAAAAATGCTTAGGTCATCATAGTTATTTCTCAAAATAGCACAAGGAGGAATGTAAAAGACAGGGAGGCAGAAAAATGTTCATGCTTGAAGAGTTTATTACTCACGGTAAGACCATGGGGCCCTCTTTTTCCTTGCTTTCCTTTTTCACCCTAGCAAAAGACCAATATCGCATGGACTGGTGAGAATTTGAGTCATAGCCTTACACGTGGTACCACACAGAAATAAAAGCATCAAGTGTGTAGCTCAATATTAAAAGCTATGATTGGTGTGCAGGGAAAATTATGCATTATAAGGAAATACACCATTATTTAGATACGCGGGACACAACGGCTCTGCCAAATTTAACTGCCCAGGAAATGGAGAATCGGCTAGTACCTTGGCACCATGGGCACCTTGATCCCCTGGGAGGCCATCTGGTCCTCTGGGTCCCTACAGGTAGAAGAAAATAACCCATTATTAATTTGAAATGTTCCTTTAAAAATAATAATCAAGTCCATGTTTTAAAGATTTTATACCACATAGAAAGTTAGGTTGCGTACAAAAATACCCACGAGAGTTGCCGGAGTGTCTATAACCCAAAGTGATTATTTTCTCATTTTGTTTATTTTTTGTTATTCAGTAGTCCTCCAGGATTTATTACTAAAATGGCTCTAAGTTAACTTATAAGAGGTTAGGTGTTTGTCTAAACAGTCTTCTTAAGTTCCATTATTTTGGAATTGCGGTTGTGTCTTTGCATCTTTAGAAAATGAACATTCAGGACACTGCACCTACTATTGCCTACTGGACAGCAGTTATTGGAAGATGACAGGAGCACAGGATAGGCAGAGAAAGTCATTTAAGGGCAAATCTCAGTATTTATTCAATAATTAGCTACAGAGAAGACCCAGCTCTTCCCAGACAGCGATAAGTCTCACTTTCTAAAGCATAACTGTCTTGAAGGGGCTTTGTAGGGGACCTCATTCTATGCCCTCTAGACAAACACCTACTGTAGAGAAGAGATAGCTCTGTGGATACATTACTATGAGTTTCTTCATTATGGAACCAATGGCATGCAAAGTTAAGTCATACAAAGAGTAAATAATTCAAGGACCAAGAGGAGGAGTCCACAGGGAGGCAGAACTGGTACATTTGTCCCGGGAATGGAGACACCATCTGTAAATGCAAGATCAGCCTCATCGGCTTGTGAGGTGAACAGACAGAGGGACAGCATGAGGAAGCGTGAAGATGCATAAAGGATGGGACTTGGCCTAGCCAGGCTGAGTTGGCTGCATGCAGAGAAATGTCAAGACAGCAAGGCAGTTGGTGATGGGGAAAGCAGAAGGTTCTGTACGGAGTGATTATACACGCTCTCCTGTCAACTGCTGATTGGAAAGGACCCGTGTTGGCTCCATGCCTTCTATATCTCGGCAAGGTCCAGAACTTTATTATGAGTATCTGTTTGCTACAGCGGGCCTCTCCAGGCTGGATTCCTGGGCTTCCTCTACTTGCAGACACACTCAAGTTTGCAGGGAGCACTCATACCCACAAGGATCTGTTGCTCCACTCTGCCTGTTAATGTGAAAGTTTATGCAACTACTCATTTGTGTAATGGTTTACAATAAAATGCTCTTTTGTCAGAATATCTCACAGTGGTTATTATTGTTATTGCTATTATTATGTTCCTAGGGCTGAACTTGGAGCCTCTAGCATAAACACAAAGTTCGCCATTGAAACATTGCTGCTCTTCCCATTTCTGCATTTACTACTTCATTTACCGAGAGATATTTCTGTGCTCACAATGATAAAGATAACCATGTACAGCGTAACAAAAAGTCTAAGTCAGGAGGTCACATAGGTCATAAAGCCAAAGGTTGCCATGTAAGGGTTTGAAAACACTGTTCTGAGAAAGACTGGGATTTTGTAAGTTTCAGGGAAGAGTGAACTAATGACCTAAAGGCATAGCATGGTGACATAGTAGGTTCCCCCTGGTGGTAGACACATCCCATTGGCTAATGTACACTCCTGATCTGACTCCTAAGACAAAATAAACTTCAGAACAAAAGAATTAGACACACACTGTTAGATAAGGCACATAATTCAGCATGATGTTAAAAAAGTAACAGCTTGAAAGTGTCTCAGGGATCTCTTATGAGTATTTTCTGGTGAGAGCATGGTGAATAACAGAATACCCAGACTTTTCCCTGTGCTGTTAGGAATGTCAAAGCTGGCCACAGTGAGCTGGGAGAGGTGTCTGGAAACCAGAGTGAGAATTAAATATCTCAGCTACATTAAAGAAAAGCACACTGCATATTTGAAACGTACGTAAGCATATTAAAGAGTTCACCAGGCTCATGAGTGATGCATTAGATGTTGGGCCCGCTGTTTCATGTAAAATGTGAAAATTAAAAGAAGAAACCACAGTCGACTAAAATGTTAACATATATTAATGCTTGGTTTACTTAGGAAGACTTTTGTGAGAACCCTGACCCCATTTCTACAGCCTCTGAGATAAATTATGATAGTTTGAGTGTCCACGAATGAAGGAAATAGCCATATTCACAGTACAGATGGACTCAATGTATTTATAGTTCCTGAAGCAGGATCTGGATCTTGGTATGACCCCTATTAATTTTAACTCACTCACATACCTAACTAATGATTCTGAGCAATCTTTCTCTGGCACTTGCTTTACACAGCTGGAACCAAGTAATCCACTGAACAAGATTAACACTATCAGGATTCTTGAGGAAAAGGTTTCTGCTATAAATTTTTGTTTTTACAGAGTGGAGGAGAAACAGTATCACTTGAGATCCTAAGTTCAGGGCTTAGCACTGAGCTTAAAAGCAAGCTACTGAGGGCCACTTCACCTTAAAGTGACATGCAGTTCCTTGAAGGGGCCAGCTTGCAGTGTGTTTATGACCATATAGGCTTTGCTTTCCTGGATAAAAGCTTAAGATGTTGTGTATTTCTAAGACAACTTTCCCTCCAGCTCATCTCAGTCTTAAGTAGCATGGTCTCAATGTCAAATTCTTCAGCTGCCTGCCTTTCTATACCACTGCTCTAGAGAGAGAATGTGGAATTTAAGGGATCTTCTGATCCAAGAGTTAATTCATGCCCCGGTGAGTAGGTGAGGTCAGCCTCGCCTGTGTCACTTCTGTTGGGCGGCTGGGCACAGAAAGAAGTAGTGGGGTAGATACCTGGGGTTTTTTTGTTCACTTATCCTCAAAGGGTCAACTGTGTGTGTGAAAGGCAATGGCTCAGGCTGAGCTGAATCCTGGTCACCCATCAGGCCAACCTACCACCACTTAGGACCAGAGTAGTGAATGCGTTGTCTTACATCATCTATACGAAAGAAATGATTTTGTGAATTGCATGGAGTGCTTTAGTACATCAAGTAACCTCTCTTCACTCAACTATGTTCTCCAGCTAAAGATACCAGCTAGCAAAAGGTTAAGATGAGTAATATTTTAAATATAAGGTTTATTTATATAATAATTTAGTATATCTATGACTGCCTTTTAATGGTTATCTTGCTATCTTTTACAGCTATGTAAGAGGTATGGTTATGAAATCATCCTACTTCAAGTTACAAAAATTTTAATAATAATATTATGTTCAGATTACTTTTTAGATGTTGGCATTGCGGCCACCTTGATTTATTTTTTCCTTCCCCGTGGTGGATTTTAGTGCTCCATGGTATTTCACAGTTTCTAGATCATTAAGTCACAAATTTGGAAAGTTTACTGTGGTCTGAAACCTGATGGGTAGTTGACATAGAGACCTCTGCAAAGATATATATATATGTCAGTAGGCAGAATCTCCTAAGTGGCCCTACTGATGATGGTATTTGTACGACCAAACAGGAAGAGCAAATTGGCATGATCACTCTGTATGGGCTCAGAAAACATGTATCTAGGAGTGGAGTTGCAAAAGTAATGACAGGAGTACCAGAAGAATTGATTCCCTTAGCTGTTGGGGTGGCACCAGAGGGTGATCCCAAGATCATGAGCCAGACACCTTTCCCACTCACCTCACTAGACTGGATAATGGTGTGTGTGTGTGTGTGTGTGTGTGTGTGTGTGTGTATTTGTGTGTGTGTGTGCAGTGTCTGTGGAGTCCAGAGGAGGACATTGCATCTCTTGGATTTGTAGGTACAGGCAGTTGTGAGCTGGTTGATATGGGTGCTAACAAACAACTCTGGTTCTCATGATTGAGCAATGAACTGTAGGGGGAAACTTAGTACTCCACCATTAGCCATGTGGCGTATTAGTGGCGCATACAGATGAGGTAATAAAAGGATGGCTTACCGCACTGCTAACCACACCCACTTTAGGCGTGACTAAACACGTATAGAGACATAGGCAGTGAACTACATCACTAGCCATGATCTCTCCATCCCCATTCAGTTATATTTTTTATTGTATAAAGTCTATTAACTGCCTATGATGTTCTCCTAGTGAAGAAAGACCCCCTCCTCCCCTAGCAATGTCTCCTTTTGCAGAGATTACTGAGTGGCATGGCTTAAAGTTGCATGGAGCCATTGGGAAAGAGTCAGTAAATTGTATTTGGGAAACGATGGAGCAGCTTAAAGATGTGAGAGCTGAGGACACAGTGACAAAGCAGGAAGCTACACATGGTTGCAGCGAGGTTGGAAACCTGCAAAGCAAATTCTCTTGTCATAGGATTTACGAGATCATTCCAGTGGTTCGGCATGTACCACGCATAGGGACATGGATTTGCCTGAGAGTCAATGAGGCCTAAATCACTCAACTAACAAAAGATTCAGATAAGTATTCTTTTATTATCCACCTGCCACAAACTGAGCTTCCTCCCTGTGACTCATACTGGACTGAAAAACACATTTGACCTCACCAAGAATTGAGTCCTGGCCGGGTGTAAACAGCAAAATGACAGTTAGAGTACAAATCACTTCTCTTCTAGTTTTAAATTCATTTAAGCTAAAATAGACCAACTACCACAGATGTTTATAGACTGTAATTCTGAGAGCCGGGAAGGAAAGTAGTTTTTCATAAAATAAGTGATAACAAAGACAAAGGATTCTCTTCAATCCTCACCTACCACATAAGACATAAAAAATAAAAGCTGTTCTCAAATGGTGACTCCACAACACTCTTTCTCAGTTTACAACAGGGAAACTTAGTGATTTTTATCTTTATTCTTTTAATGTTTAAAAATCTTTGTTAGTTAGAGATCATGCTTTTAGAATAAAAATATGTTCACTTTAAAATTTAAGCCAAGTAAAGTGCAGCACATGACTATTAGACATAGAGCAGAGGATAGACAGCCTACAATTCACAACCCCAGAGAAGCTAGAAAACAAGGAGGACTCCCTGAGAAGGGAAAAGAGACAAGATCTCCTGAGTAAATTGGGTGTATGGGAGGTGAGTTGGGGAAGGGAGGTAGGAAAAAGTGGAGAGAAGGGGATGGTGGAGGAAAATGCGAGGGATCGGGAAGGTCGAGTTGGGGGACGGACAGAGAAGGAAAGAGATAACTTAATTGAGGGCTTAAAGAAAAACCTGAAACTAGGGAAATTTCTAAGAATTCACAAGGATGACCCCAAATAAGAATCTAAGCAATAGTGGGGAGGCTACCTTAAATGCCCTCCCCCTATAGTGAGATTGATGACTACCTTAAATGCCATCCTAGAGCCTTCACCCAGTAGCTGATGGAAGCAGAAGCAGAGATTCACAGCTAAGCACTGTGGCGAACTCCTGGAATCCAGTTGTAGAGTGATGAACAAAGGGATCAAGACCATGCTGGGGAAACCCACAGAAACAGCTGAGCTAAGAAAGTGGGAGCTCATGGATCCCAGACTGACAGCTGGGGAATCTGCATAAGACCGAACCAGGCCCCCTGAACGTGAGTGTCAGTTGTGGGGCTTGGTCAGTTTATGGGGCTGCTAGTGGTGGAACTAATATTTATCCCTAGTGCACAAATGGACTTTGGGAGTCCATTCCCTATGGAGGAATACTCTCTCAGCCTAGATACGCAGGGAAGGGCCTAGGCCCTGTCCCAAATGATGTGACAGACTTAGAGATCCCCCATGAGAGGCCTCACCCTCTCTGAGGAGTGGATGGGGGTGGGATGGGGAGATAATGGGGGGCATGGGAGGATGGGAGGGAGAGAGAACTGAGATTTGTATGTAAAATAAGATGGTTTTTAATTTAAATAAAAATTAATTAAAAAAAGGAATACAACTCCTAAAGTCACAAGTTCAGAGGAGGAGAAGTATTATTTAATATTCCATGTGGCATTAAATAAACATTGGCTCAGGAGTAAAATAGATGATGACTTGAATGTTTCTTGAGACATTCTTCTGTGTCTGTACAAGTGATATTCCTTGAGCCCTGGTTTCCTTGGTTATGATTTCTATGATACAGTGCTGTGCCTTCTTAAGGAGGCTCTGAGTATTAAACAAGACAATATACATGAAGTATATGTAACAGTAATACAAATGCTTTTGTTAAAAAAGATTAACATTTTTGCATTAGTGCATCTGTGTAGGGGCATTGAATCCCCTGGAACTGGAATTATAGACAGTACCATGTGAGTAGTGGGAATTAAATCCAGGTCCTCTGGAAGATCAGTCATTGCTGTTAACCACTGGGACATCTCTCCAGCCACTTGACACTTATGTAAAAAGAGTTAATGCTTAAGAGATGACTTGGGAGATAAATATTCTTTACACATATTTATGCACATTAATTGTTAGACAATAATAGCTAAAATACAATTGATAAGTACTGATTCATTCCATCTAGATCCATTCTATTTCCTATTGTTTTATGTTATTTCCACTTTTCATAATATGTAAATCTGTTGTGAATAGAAATGAAATTTATTTAAAGATCTTCACATTTATAATGCCCCTACAAATAGAAGGAGAGGTTGTGGATAAGAAAAAATAATTCTATACGATATTGTAGTAGGTAAAAATAAAAATGAAGATGTATCATTTTATATGTACAAATTATTAGTTATATCTCAATTACTATAGGTAGTTCATCTAGTAGAATAAAAACAGCAAAAGCATGACAGTGTGTTAGCATGATTCTAGAAGGTATAGAGCTGTTTTTGTCAATCACATCAATATGAGGTAACTCTTTTGAGGTTAACATACTTTTGTGTTACTTACTCTTTGTCCTTTAGGACCCAGACTCCCAGGTGCGCCTCTTGCCCCAGTAAGACCCTACATGTTGGAAATTAAGAAACTCAGTTATCAAATTCATAACATTGTTGCCAGAATAGTAGCTACACCTTTCTTATATATGCATTTTTAGTGATGAATTTTAAGTGATATTAGTAGTTTCCATACAAATAAATTTTAATCAATCAAAACCATGTGTTCTACTTTAAAGTATTTCACTGTTTGGAAAAATGTCACCCCTGTCTGAAATGGATTGGGAGGCTTTAATATTCATTGAACTAATAGTGTCAGAAGGACTGTACATTAACAATGGAGGAAAGAGAGGTCCACTTAGCCAGTCAAAACAGTCTACTATAACTGATCCATCAAAGAAGCAATGGCTATCACTGTTATAATTTCTTTGTTGTTACTAAAGATATCTATTTTAACCCCACATGTAAAATTTATGTATTTTATGAACCTATGAAAAATGCCATGATTTTAAATTAATATATCAAAAGTAGATTATAATGAAAGTTAACTTGCCATTTTAATGTCAAGTTTAATGATATATTAAGTCTCCTATAAAGACATTAGAAAATAGCACAAAGTACTGGCTATAAATATAAACATGTAGAAGGCAATTATTGACAATATGATCACTTAGTCAAATGATGGTAGTAGGTTCCTCAGGTGATCTTCACAGTTGTGGGCTTTTGGCCAGGTTTACACTACCAAACACAAAACCTCTCCTGGGCACTAGGTCTCAAATGCCACCATAAAACAGTTGGTTCCTCCATAACCACCACACCACTATTGCACCAGAGGATACAGTTTGCCTGGTAGCATGCAAAGCTAGAGTTGGTTAAGACCTTCAGTGCCCTTCTCTACCAGCAATCCACACAGCACCTTCTAACACTGTGAAGGCTAAGCCTCCAGGGACTTTGCTGACCAATTTGAGATTGTTCTACGCTCTGCAGCCCAAGTACATGGTGTCTTTGGCTCTCAGGTCTTTCCTCTTTGTTATGGTGAGTAACAAGAGCAATGCCAATACCCAGGATTGTTTTGGATTCCTTTGGGGCCTCCCTCATGGAGAGGCATCCTGCTCCTGGCACTGAGATTTTCATTTAACAACCCATGTCTTCTGTTTAGTTATGAATTTCGGGTACATGAAAATGGACTGGATTTTAGGACCTGAAGTTCATTCATTCTTTTATATGAGTGAAGAGATTGACAACCATACTCCAGTCTTCCTTCTTTTAGAACTCAATGTATCTGTGGCTATAATAGACAATCAGCTTACCTTTTAGAACGGGAGCATCATGAAACATAAGATAAATGATTTCTGTGAAAAGAAATCCTGCCCTGACACTACTGAGGCTGAACCTCTTTAGACTCGTGTTAACCATAACTGTCAAACCGTAACAAGCAAATGTTCTTTCTTGAGGGGCAAGATTTAATTATCTTTCTGAAAACAACAGATGCGATATATTTAAAGCTCAAGTTTTACTTACCAAAGGCACACTTCCTACCAATTTTAACTGTTTGAGAATATTTGCAAATTTTAAGAAAAAATATGTTAAAATATCTGCTTGTGTTTTGTTACTTCCTCTGATCTCAGTTGTGTTTTGGTGACTGATTCAACTTCCTTACAAAAGGAAGATTATATCTATATCTATATAATCTATATATCTATCTGTCTGTCTGTCTATCTACCTGCCTGCCTGCCTGCCTATCTATCTATCTATCTATCTATCTATCTATCTATCTATCTATCTATCTATCTATCTATCTATCTCATGTTTTAGTTTAGGCTAGAGAACTGAAATTGGTTGCTATATGTTGTAGGGGGAAGGGAAATTCAAGATACTGAGAAATATGACAGAACTCTCATACGGTGTGAAGACAAGCAATCTCCACTGCCTTACACACGACTGATTTTACATGAGACCCCAAAGATGGCACATCAAAGGCAACGGATTTAGATTAAAGTGGACACTCAAGAAGGGATCACAGAGTTTGTTCTATACTTACAGGTAATCCCAGTGGGCCCATGGGTCCTGGAGCCCCGGGAGGACCTTCGTAGCCCTATGATTGAAAGGAAATATGAAAGAAATAAGATCAGTGACTTTCCTTTAAGAGGAAAAAAATCAGTAAACCACAAATGGTAACCAAACAACAGCTTGATAAAGTCACCCTTTCCTAACTGCTGTACTTGAAGCCCAGGAAATATTCTACGGTAGGACCGTAAAAATTAAAGATGTGTTTACATAGAGATGTGCATCCATTTATTAGGTCCATCCTTGCTTGGCAAAGAAAGTCACTAGGTAGCACTGCTTGTTACAATACCAGGAAGACACCTTTCTTTCCTCTTTCTGTGATAGTATCTTACACATGAGTATGCTCTGTGACACATGTTATGAGTTACAAACTTCTAAGAGACGTTAGGAAACTCCAAACTAAGGAAGGTGGATGCAATTAGTCCATCAGCTTTCAGAAAGAACACATGCATTATGGGACTGTGCTAATTCTGAAGATGCCTTAGGAGGTAAAGATTTTGAGTTGTGTTGAGTTTATAAAGATGTCAGGTTTACTACCTGTCCCAATTAGAAACTGCTAAAAATAATCTTGAGGCATTCTTCTGATGGGACAGAAATTAAAAATGATAAGTAGGAAGTGGAATGAATTTGTAGATAGTGTTATATGCCACCAGACATATTTTATATTTTTCTGAAAGGGGAAGTCCTAAAATGGATAATAATCATTCTTTTAATTTCCTATAACACAGGCTATTTAATAAAATAAAAATACAACTCAGATGAAAAACTTGACAGTTGCCATTATCTTGAAGATATAAAAGAATAAGATAAATTTTTGGTACTTAAACATATGACCTCACGGCCAGAGCTGGTGGAAGAGTGGTTGAGGACATATGTAAAATGAACTTTGTTTGCACAAAACATGCAGAATTTTAATTGAATATTCTTTTTAATCCAGTATGACTAATTTATTCTCCCATAACTGCAGAATAATTTTACTAAGGCAGCTTATTTTTATACTTTTTTTGTGGATTTGGTACCATAGAACGTCATTCTAGGATATAAAGCAGCTAAAAAGGAAAGCTCAGTGGAAATTTACTACAAAATAACATTTTCGCTTAAATTCCCGTCAAGGTGGGTCTACCCCTTGGAGGCTTTAACTTAGATGAATTAGAAATCGAAGTTTTATATCATTCAACTCTTACCATGACACCCTTCTCCCCCTGGGGACCAAGAGGGCCTGGACTTCCACGTTCTCCCTTTTAAAACAAGAAACAAAAAATCCCCAACATTGAGGTATGTTAATGATAATTGATTTGAAGATAGAAAAGAAACCACTGGAGCCATAAATTGAATGTATATCTCATCTTCATTTTCAATATCTTTGAAACTTTGCCTTTTTAAACTTACAGTTGCAAATCTTCTAATATGACAGTTCTCTTGTTTGCAATCTTATTAAAATGAAGATAGAAATTACAGATAAACAAGATCTTCTAAAGAGCATGTGGCTTGATAGAATTTTATAAATGAGAAATCTTATGATTTTATAGGAAACCTCAGAGCATGAAATTCCTGAGAACACAAAGCATATTGAAAAGCAAGCTTTATCTCTAGAACAATTGACAAAATTATTTCCCTGGTCTGTGGGTCTCAGTGAAGAGCTGCAGATCTCATTCTGGACGATTGTGGGAATCAAGTCCCTAACAAAATGCAGTCACATTAAAATTCCTTGCATTGTCAAAATCTTCCCTCACTGAATAATAACCATATCAGAATGAAAAATGACAGTTAAAATCGAATTACTTCTGTATTTTGTTATATTACTAATAATGTCATTAAGCATATGTTAAGAAGTTATATTACATGACAGGGATATATTTACAAAGTTAAACTTACATTCTACTCTCAAATAACTATAGATTTGCTATTAGTAGAGATGAAATAATGAGAATTTGACTGAATTGTATGCTATGCAGAATTCATTCTCATTCCAGGAAGGGAAGAAATCGGAAGGATTAGAGGGGTATAGAGGGATTTCCTAAGAGGAGGGGAAATTAATAGAGGCCAACAGTTTGTCTGTCTTTAAGATTCTGGGATAGAAGAGAATATACTAGGTGAGCAATGAGACTGAACACAGGAACAGGTGTTTAATAGAGCTGGAGGAAAGAGAAGAGTTGTCTGGAAGTTTAGTTTTCTCATTCAAAACTGCTTTACATTGCTAGAATTATGGACTGTTTTTCTGGACACGCTTCCACACTGTCGGTTCCATATTTGCTTTTCAGATTACATCTGGACAACCAGCAGGGTATCCTACCCTTTACAAATTAGAAACAAACATATAATTAGTCATATTTCAACATATTTAGGAGATTACATAGAGGCAATATGTTATATTTTTGAATAAATTTCCCTTTTGCCAGCATATATTAATTGTACAAAGTAATAGTTTTTACAATCACATTTCCAAAATGCATGCATGAAGCATACCTTGACCATACCTTACTGTTTCTTGGGTTTCCCTCCTTTTTTCCTTTTATATCCCTGATGGTCTCCCTTCTACTCTTACTGAATTCCACACATGGGAGAAACCATGCAATGGCTATCCCTTCAAGCCTGGCTTTCCCCCTTAATATGATGATCTCCATTTTCAGACACTACTTGAAATGACATCATTTCATTCTTTCCTTTAAATATCTATTTGGGGTTCTAAACGCTCTTGGATGCAGACATCTTTCCCCATATTTGGGATTTTTTTTCTGCCCGGCTTCAGCAATTAGAGTCCTTGTGCCTGTTCAGCTCTTAATCTACATTGAGAATTTTTATTCTCATCACATGACCATGTCCCAGAGCTCTTGAAAGTCATGGTCATGACTGCCTTTCTTTCCTTTTCTGTCGGAACATAACAATTCCTTAGTCATGCCTTCAACCTGTGAAACCTCTTTTCTGCTTAATTTAATGGCAGTGTTTCCCAGAGTTTAAAAATTTTGATTTATGGTGCTCTTCTTTTCCAAAATTCCTATTTCCCCCTAGAATCTACTCATTTACTAAATTTCTCATATCTATTACTGAATTTCAACTCTAAATCTCGAACTGCCTTTCTCACCCCATTCGTCTGTTTGTTTGACCCCCCTTTGAGGTCGCTGGTCGTTTTTAAAAGTAAACTTTTGAATGCTTTGCCTAGCATTTCAACCACTTCATTGTTTTTGGATTCAGTTATTGAGGAGTTGTTAACTTTTGTGGGAGTCATATTGCCTTGTCTTTCCGTTTTTCTTGTGTTTCTGTGTAAATATTTTTGCCATGGTTGGGATATCCCTTCTGGTTTTTTATTAAAGTCTTCTTAGTGGTAAATTTTATCTTGAGCTCTCAATCTCCACCACTACTCAGAGGAGAGGAAGCAGATCACAGTAGAACAATTGAAAAAAACAAACCATACATTCAAATGCAGAAAATACCAATTAGACATATCAACTATATTCCCTTAGGGAGAGAAAAGAAAGGAGCTAAGACACTTACAGAATAAGGTGAGAATTGAAAAGCTATTCAAGCTAAAATTATTAATGATTAAGTAATAAATGAAGACACAGAGAATAAGCAACAATGGAAAGAGAGAAAACGTGTGTTGACAGCAGAAGAAGAAAGTATTAAGGGTAAACAATAACAGAAATTCAAGGCAAAACCAAATCCTCAGAGAGAAAACAAAACCAATCAGTATTTCCTCCTTGCTGAGGAGATTCCATGCTCTTTCCTAGACTTGTCTTTTTTGCAGTTCACTTGGTACTGGGGACAGGGACACACTGAGAAGTGCTCTTCCTATAGCTCCCAACAGATGAGCTATAATGGCTCAAACAAGGCTATTTGCAGGCTGAGCCCCATCGCGCTTTTCGACTAGGTTTGATGACTATGTGAATTACTAGGTCGAGTTACTGCCAGCGTACAGGCTCAGCAACACGGGAAAGTAGAACCCTCCTTCAATTTGCTGCTGCCATTTGAGCCGGTGGGCCACCTGGTCGGATGGTCCCTTGTGCCAGAGACACTCTATTAGTTTAGTCATGGGTCTGGGAAATGACCAAGCAGCTTTTATGTTTTAACCAAGTGTTTCTTGGACTCTGACGTTTTGTTGGAGATGTGTGGCTACACAGGAAAGTGCGGAGTCTTTAGTGCTTAGCACTTAACCCTGCATCCTCTAGTCTCCTCCAGGATGGTGAGTGCCTTCTAATCAATCAACATAAGATGCCATGACGTTAGCCCGGAGTTCTTAATATAAAACAAAATAACAAAAGGAATTACCTTTTCACCAATGCTTCCGGTTATCCCTACTTCTCCAGGTAAACCAACAGGTCCCTTGTAAAAAAGAAATACAACAGAAAGTATGCATACATTACATCTATCTTGTAGCATCCTGGTTTTAAATGGCCTATAATTAATTACTGTTTCTATCTACTTCATCCTATTTGAGGGAGGGATTCTTTGTAGAATTAGTACATAGCCTACGATTTCACATTAGAATTAACTGATTCAGTCAGTCAAAAATACCTGAATGAAAACATAGTGCCTAATAGATACTTTGTTGGGAGAAGTCTCTGTGCTTATGAACTAATAATCAACAGGATGCTATAAATATATCTTCAGTTTTCATATCTACTTGGTACGGTTATGTTAACATAAAATCATTTTTGTGACTACCTTCTTTGAAAGTACCTTAACACCCACTCATGTTCATTTATTTGTCTAGTCATAAAAGAATTTGATGTCTGTTCTGAGTGGCACTGGTTGCTGAGGTAAACAGATTCAGGTCCTGTCTTGATGTCATAGTTAGCTTCAGCTATCAGTTTGACACAATCCATTGACACAATCAATTGAGGAATTACCTCCATTAGCTTGGCCTCTGGGCATGTCTGTGGGGGCATTTCCTTAGTTGTTAATTGATGTGGTAGGAGGGATGAACCTGGGTTGTATGAACCTGGGTTGTATAATAAAGTGAACTGAGCAAGTCTGAAAACCCAAGCCAGTCAGCAGTGTTCCTCCATGGTTATTGCTTCAAGCTCCTGCCTTGGCATCAAATGATGATGGGACTAAAACCCTGTATATTAAATAAGCTCTATCCTTCCAAGTTGCTTTGGTTGTGGTGTTTAATACAGTAACAGAAATCAAACTAGGGACACTTGATGAATCGAAACATAACACAGAAGGAAAACATTAACAGCTATAAGTTTGGATCTAAGTGCATAAAGGAAATAACTGTGATTCTGGAGTATGAAAGAGAAGGCATTTTAGCAAGGGGAGTCTGGGAAGGGATGAAGCCAGACGTTAATCTGTAGCTTGAGTAGGAAGAGATCAGCCAGGCAAATGGAGAAGGGAGGCAGGGTTTCCAGGCTACTATACAGCCTGAGTGAGTGATACAGTTGTGCGGATGAATGGAAGAAGGCCATAGGCAACGCTGCTTTGAGGAACATGACCTGGGTTCCCTGTGTCTGTATTTGTGAATATTTATCATTCCTTCTTTAACCGATATAGAGAACAAAAAGAACAAAACGGAGTGAGTATTGGAACAGGAACACATCCCTGTTCTTGATAGCATTTTGTATAATATATATTTACAAATACAAACCAGTGAACTATGACCAATGGGTGACTGAGCAGAATCTAACTTAACATACAGTATGATTTTACCCATGTGGGTCTATAGGCTTATCTGTTTCCAGATCTAATTGGCTGGCTATCACACGATCCTGGATGCAGTAACATGCATTGGGCTGTGTGTGTGTGTGTGTGTGTGTGTGTGTGTGTGTGTGTGTGTGTGTGTGTGGTTTCATCCTCACAACCACCGACTTTGGTCATGTTAACTAGATTCTCCTTTGGCAGATGCTGTAGCTAAGTCAAGCAGGGGAGTTTAAATGGTATGACTAAGCTTAGATGAACACCAAGTGCTTAAAATGTGGATTGTGTTTTATTTTGAAAACTATAGTTCTTCAACAATGTGCATTTTTTCTTTTCTATTTATATCTTTTTAAAAAGATTTATTTATTCAGTATGTATACAGTGTTCTGCCTGCAAGTCCACCTGCATGGCATAAGGGGGCACTAGATCTCATTATAGATGGTTGAGAGCCACCATGTGGTTTCCGGGAATTGAACTCAGGACCTCTGGAAGAGTTAAGACTCTGAGCCATCTTTCCAACCCTCTCTGTTTGGATCTTTAATCTTATACATGCATACATACATACATACACACACACACACACACACACACACACACACACACACACATATATATATAATGCTGCTGTCCTCTATTGATTTTTTTGTTTTTTTATAATAATTTTTTATTTAACTTTTTACACATGTTACTCCCAGTTCCCTCTGCCTTCCCTCCTCCCCCGCTCCCCAATCCCCTCAGCCCCCCACTCTATCACCCCTCTGTTCCCCAGGGAGGGTAAGGCCTTCCATGAGGGATTTTCAGAGTCTGTCATATCATCCCAGGCAGGGCCTAGGCCCTCCCCCATGTGTCCAGATTGAGAGAGCATTCTTCCATGTGGAATGGGCTCCCAAAGTCCATTTGTGTGTCATGTATAAATGCTGATCTACTATCCAGATCCCACAGATTTCTGAGGCCTCCTCTCTGATGTGGTACAATGCTTAGGCATAGCTTATTTCTTATCTTTCTATTCTATTCCATTACTAATTTTCCTGTTTTTTCCCTTTATAAACTTCTCTCACTCAATTTTTTCAAATTCTTCTATATCTGTGTTTAACTCTCCTTATTAAAACAAGCAATCTAAGAGAGGTTTAAATCAGTCTTAAGGTCTGAAACCACAGGCTTTAAATACGTTTGAATACGTAAAATTAATAGTGAATGACTATTTAATACGAAACCATCCACACATTTGGCCATACTAGGTGAATTCATTTTGAGAAACCTATCAAGTTTCATTAGACTTGACATGCCATTGATGCACCTATATTTTTATATTTCTGAAAGTTAAAAAAATCCAATAAGCAAATGTGATTTGTCAGTGAATTTGAAAAATATCTGTTTCAAATGTTAATATGTGAAGAAAAGGGCATGCTAGGTTGTGTTATTCAAAATGTTCACTGCTTATTTCTGTAGAACAATTACATCCCTGTGCCACTTCTGTTAAACTTGCCATGGGTCTTACAGTGCTGTTAGGCTTGCCATGGGTCTTATAGTGCTACTCAGCATGGGAAGAAAATTATCATCCATCCTACTCATACTAGGCTTCTCTATGTAGCTTATTTAGAACAAAGACAAGATGGAGGGCATGACATTTGTCAAGCTGTATTTTAGAGGCTACAGACTAACATGATTCAAAGAGGCTCTTTGTGAACCTGGGCCTAGAATCCAGATGGCTTGGAACAGACACAGGCAGCTCCCAATGGTTAGGGAGCAAGTGAGAAAGAAACTTTTGCTATTGCTAGGCACTGATATTTTGAAACTGTGATTCATCGCAACATAATTTAGCTACTCTGACAAAGTTGGGAAGATACAGTACTCATTTACATGAGAAACAACTAGATTTTCCCAGTTTTTTTTATATCCCTTGTGATGACAGTCCCAAGGCAATGGGGAACTACTTCAATTAAAAAGCCTGGCTTTCTTAATTGCTTTAGAAGCATAAGCAACGAAAACTCTGCATCATCTTACAACACTCAATTTTGTGCTTATTTTGATCCAGGGGCTAATATTTTTCCAAAGTTACAAATGAGTTAAAATAAGCATTGACATAAAATTGGAAAACTTGAATCTAGCTCAGACTGCTTATGCAAAAAGATGTATTTCAGAAACTCCTTAATTACCAAAACAAGGCAGCATTGCACTCCCAACAACAAGATAATTACCACCCACAGTAATAATACAATGAATAAGAGGGCGTTAATGAAGAGCGTTTGGAGGTAAGAAGAGAAAACAAAATACTTATGTTGGAGGAGAGCCAGGAATGCTCAAAGAAATCCAAGGAGCAAAGTTTTGAGGGAAGAAAGAGCATCCTTGGTAAGGAAGAACTTGAGAGAGTGATGAGACTTGGCATTGTAGGATCAATGGTAACCTCCAAGCACAACTTCAGTAGCCCCTGCACGTTTGGACATGGCTGTTGAAGGGTTAAGAGTGTCCGTGTGAAGGAAGCAGGTGAACAGCTTGTGTAGCCAGCTCGCTTAAGAAATTTGGCTGCAGAAGGAGGACAGAATTACCATTGGGGACCATGGTTTGCAAAATTATCCTACTGAGAACAGTATTTCTGCTCTGCCAGCCAAGTAAAAGAAAGCTCATCTATGATAGAAGTATACTGCTGAATGGAAAGCAATTATATTTAAGATATATTTTCTCTCTGTTTCACAGAATGATTAAAAAATAACAACAACAACCTGATATCAGTGCCTAATCCATCGTAAGTGGTTTGGACCAATACATTTGCAATAGGAAGGCAATGCTACTGGTGTAATCTCTCCCACAGGTGATCTCTTAGCCTGCTCCCCATCTCTAGACAGCCTCCTTGCACGGGAAATTCTTTGCAAGTCACAGAACTCATGCTGGGAGATGTGCAACAGCCGATGACTTCATGTTTTTATGTAATTATTATTATTATTATTATCGTTGTTGTTGTGGTGGTGGTTTTGTTGTTAGTAGTAGTAGTAGTAGTAGTAGTAGTAGTAGTAGTAGTAGTAGTAGTAGTATGGTTATTATGATTACAAATGCTTTCCAAAAGAAAAGATCACAGTGCCCTGACGTGTTTTCATATTCATTCATGAAACAGGCACCCCTATACAAGTGAGATCTAGGACAAGATACAACTCAGAATCAGGAACACATATATTTCAATTTTCAAGTGCTCACAGCTAATTAGGATATGTGAGCACAGTTGCAATTCATTTAAATAGATTACCAATGGATGTTAGGATAGCAAAGGAAAGATTCCTGGTTTTATTCCTTTCTATTCATCCTTTTTCATCAAAAGCAGTGTGGGGAAAACTGGATGTTCACAGGTAGAATGCGGAAACTAGATCCCTGCCTGATATTCTGTATTAAAACTCATCTCCAAACGCATTAACAGAAGGCCTCCATGTGAGACATGAAACTTGGAAAATGTTAGAGGAAAAAGTAGAGGAGGTACTTCAGCAAACAGTCATAGACAAAGTCCTGAGCAGGACCTAGCTACTCAGGAGCTGATGTCGGCCACCAGCAAATAGGAACTCATGCAACTAAATGTGTCTGCAGAGCAAAGCTAACCAAGAGAAGATTTAGCTTACAGAAAGAGAGAAAATACTTATGACTGATACTCTCCATCTATACAGCTTTCCTACTGCTGACTTAGTTCTCACACCTCATAA